TCAAGTCTTCACTAAAGAGTCTAGATAAAGAAATGGAAAGACAAGGAGTTTCTCAGTCTTGCTTCTGCCACTTTAGTATCAGTCGGATTCTGGGACTTCTAAGACTTCTTTTTTTTTTTTAAACAATACAGAAAAATTATATAAGCACTTATGTTCTAAGACTCATTTTTTCCCTTGTATTAAATGGACACAGTACTTTTTAGAGTTACAGTAATGACAATTAAATGAAAAAATTTATCAAGAGTTCCAAGCACATAGAAGGCATTCAGAAACTGGTGCTCCTTCCCCCGTACCCCACAACTCTCTACAACATACTTTTTAATTTGGGGAGCCTAGGAAATATCATGTGCTATTTATGTTTTTCCTTATGTCTGTTTTTGTTTCTGTTCATTTGTAATTAAAGCACATAGGTCTTCAAGTTGGTGATCAAAGTTAAGAGCTGATTAATTCCCAAAGGACTGATGGGTTCACTGTCAGAACAGTATTTAGCACCTAGAACAGTGCCTGACACACAGTAAATGTTCAATACATATTTTTTAAAAGAATGAATGAATTAATAAAGTACTGAAATAAGGATGATGCTCTGGACTGATAATTATGGGATCAACATGTTGTAAGTGCGAAAAAGTGGGAAGATCTTATCAAATGAGAGGTTTGGGATGATGTTTCCAAATGGGTCACTTCAAGGTGTTTTCATTCATTCATTCAACCAGCATTCTACTAGGTGTGTACTATACATCAGCTACATATTAGCAAGAAAATATCTCTGGCTCCCATGCTAGTGCAACAAAACGATTAGGCAGCAGAAAGTTGTAGAAGACACCGCATGAGTAACCAAAGGAAACCAGTGACTGCCTATGGGGGTGTGAAACAGCATGGCACATGCAGGTATGGCCAGTACTGTGATACTGGCTGGAGTGCATGTGGGGGACTGGGGAGAGATGAAGCTCAACAAGCAATGTTAGGTAGGGGCTAGAACATGAAGGGCCTTGTATGCCAGGCTGAGAGTCCTGAATTTTCTCCTCGAGAGTAGTGGTGGGGGTGCTACTGAAGGGTTGCTGGGTTTCTTTTTTTTTTTGAGGAAGATTAGCCCTGAGCTAACTGCTGCCAATGCTCCTCTTTTTGCTGAGGAAGACTGGCCCTGAGCTAACATCCATGCCCATCTTCCTCTACTTTCTGTGGGGGACGCCTACCACAGCATGGCTTGCCAAGCGCTGCCGTGTCTGCACCCAGGATCCGAACTGGTGAACCCCAGGCTGCCGAAGCAGAACTAATGAAGGGTTTTAATGCAAAGGAAAGATCATCACATTTTCGGTTCAGAAAGATCTGGATTGGAGGGTTGAGGTATGAGAGACAGAGAAATCAGCTAAGAAGTTACTAGGATAGTCTACATGGGAAAGAGATCATAAAGGCTGGAACTAAGGCAACAGAAGCAGTGTTAGGGAGAAGATGGGTTTGAGGAACCTAACTAGATTAGGCTAGATAAGAGAAGAGAGGAGAGCTAAGAAAGAATCACAGTTTTTTCTTGTTTTTTTTTTTTTTTTTGCTTTTTCTCCCCAAAGCCCTCTAGTACATAGTTGTACATTATAGTTGTGGGTCCTTCTAGTTGTGGCATGTGGGACGCTGCCTCAACATGACCTGATGAGTGGTGCCATGTCCACATCCAGGATCCGAACTGGGGAAACCCTGGGCTGCAGAAGCAGAGTGCAAGAACTTAACCACTCAGCCATGGGGCCAGCCCCTCTTCTTTTTTCTTTTAAAAGATTGGCATCTGAGCTAACATCTGTTGCCAGCCAATCTTCTTTTCTCTTCTTCTTCTTCTTCTTCTCCCCAAAGCCCCCCAGTACATAGTTGTATATTCTAGTTGTAGGTCCTTCTGGCTGTGCTATGTGGGGCACTGCTTCAGCATGGCTTGATGAGCGGTGCTAGGTCTGTGCCCAGGATCTGAGCCCGCAAAAACCCTGAGCAGCTGAAGCAGAGGCCAGAACTTAACCACTTGGCCACAGGGTGCCCCGAATCACAGTTTTCTGACTTTGACTTTGGGGCAGCTGGTGAGGCCACTGATGGAACAAAGACGATTGGTGTGGATTAAGGATGTGGAATGCGCGAGGACCAGAGAATTCAGTTTTGGCCATAGTGAGTTTGAGGTATCTGTGGGACCCAGGTAAAGATATTTCTTGAACAGACCAAAAAGGAGAACACACGAATATTTATGCATATTAAGATAAAGCAGGTCAGTAATTCCTATCCTTAGAACACTTCCCCATCATCTTCTAAATTTCTTCATATCTCTCAGTTCACAATTGTACACAAACCTCTACAACGACTACTGATGTTTACATATTTAGGAACTTCTAAAATGTACCCTTGAAAAAAGGTAGAGTGATATTTCTAACAGAAGCCAGTTTATTAATAAGGTGAACATGTCCACAGTTATTTGAATAAAGGCGGTTTGTAGAACCTCTGGTAAAAGTAACAGTGAAATACTGTTCCTAGAATGTCATTCATAATCGCGCAAAAATATGTTTCCTGCTGTGTGCTTAGGAAGAACTTTTACATTTTCCGCAAGGATGAAATATTTAGCTATCAGTAGCTAAATGCCAAGCTTATATTGACCTCAGTGGTGGGTTTACCAGTGCAGAGGCTCAGGGCAACAGGTAACTTATTCAGTGGGACCCATAGAAGAATAGCAAGGATGGCTGACACATCTTGAGAATTGGGTAATTTCACTGCCCGATGGACATAGGGCAGTGAACTGGGCACCAAACCGCAGATGGACTGCAGATGCACTGAAGGAAGTCATTACAGTTTTGTGAAATTTGGGCTGGCTTAATGAAGATGAAACCTGCTGGTTTAAGAACTATGTGTTCTTGGCAAAAGCATGGTGCTGCAGAATTTCACCAGCCATAGTGAAAAAAAGAGGGGAAAGGGAATGGGAGGAGACCACAAAATTCGTGACATGATACATAAAACGTTAACTATCTATTAGCTTTGCATCTTTTGAGAGTCACCAGATTGGAGCACAGAATTTTGAATTTGGCTGGCAGATGGTGTACACAGACTTTCTGAGTGTGTTAGCATTTCATTTCAAACTAGCAAGATTACATAGGACTCTCACGGTAATTTAACATTCATAGAGATTTTTAAATTTATCCCTAAACCTAGGTTAAATCTGGGACCCAAATAGCGTTTTAGAAGGCTTTGTTAATAGATCTGGATCTCATAGAACAGATTCACAGGATATAGTAATTCCTCCAAAATGCCCACGGAGTTAGCGTCAATGGTTTCTTTCTCTGAAAATCCGGATTACCCAAAAGAAAAGAGGCCCAAGGGAAGAAAGACTAAACCAGGGGAGATGGCAGGTAGTGATGTCTGGATTCCTTGAATGGGACTTCTCCATTTACTACCCCTCTCATTTCCTTCTATGGTCTGGACCTTTAAACACCACAGCAGTCAGCCTTGTAGGGTCAAGCTAATCTCTGTTGACATCATCCTACTACTTCCCTTTTCAAATTCCAGTGAAGCTGCGTGTTTCCTGTCCTATTTGACACCCTCGAGAAAGAATACTGGCCGGCTGGTATCTAAATTTAGACTGGCAGCAACGAGTTTTCAGAGAAGAGATAAACAAAAACAGGTGACATTTCCAAGCCTCCCAAGAAAAGGGGAAAAAACCCCAAACCCTTTTGGGGTAAGTAAACAGGGCGAGCTTCCACAGTCGCACAGTAGGGCGAGGCCTGCTGGCAGGCTCAGAAATTGGGCCGGCTGAAACCTTTTCCTTTTTCTGAAAGCCAGGACAGCTTCGGGGGCGTCCCTAAACACATTCTGGACTCTGCTCGGAAACCCGACGAGCCCGAGCCTGACAGCCCGTCCTCAGCGGGAGCTGTGAAGGCAGCCGCACCTCCTCTTTGTCAAGCCGCGGGTTTCAAACACCGGCCCCGGGCCCCCCACCGGCTGGGAGAGGGCGGACGCCCGCCGCCCTTCCGCGGCCGCCCCTCCCCCACTCTGTGACCCCCGCGGGCCCAGCCCCGGGCGACCTGTTGGCAGGGAGCGTCACGTGACGCGGCGGCCGCACACTCCCCCCGGGCCGGCCTCCTGTTGCGCCCGCCGGGCGGGTTCCATCACGTAACGCGCGGCCGCCGGCCCGCTCTTCCCTCGCCGAGCGAGGGAGGGCGGGCGTCGAAGAGGAAAGGGAAGGGAAAAGGGGCGGGAGAAGGAGGAGGGGCGGCGCCCGCGTCACGTGACCCGGGGCAGCCCGGAAAGCTCCGAGGAGGAGCCTGGCGCCGCCATTTTCCTGCAGCTGCCTGTCCCTCTTGCCCTGCCCGGCTCCAGCTGACCAGGGAAGGGGTGGGCTGAGCTGAGGCGGGGGCAGGGGAGTGCCCGACACCGTGCCTGACCCCGCGGGTGACACGAGCCGGTTCTTTCCGGGCTGGGTGGCAGCGCGCGGCCCTGAGCCCCGCCCCAGGCCGGCAGGCGGAGAAGGAGCCGGTGGGGGTAGGGGGTGCGGTGGGGGGTGGGGGTCCTCCGGCGCTTGGGGGTCCCAGTCCCCGCCGGCTGCCGAGCGGGAGGGGTGGCGGAGGAGCCGCAGAGATGTCCGGCCAGAGCTTGACGGACCGAATCACCGCCGCCCAGCACAGTGTCACCGGCTCCGCCGTATCCAAGACAGTATGCAAGGCCACGACCCACGAGATCATGGGGCCCAAGAAAAAGCACCTGGACTGTGAGTGAAGCCGACCGCGGCCCGCGTCCTTCTCCCCATCTCTTTTCTTCCCCTTCAGCTGCCTCTTCGCTCCCTGCGTCTTATCCGGCACGGCGGGTCCGGTGCTCGTCCGAGCTGTGTTCTTTTGGCGTCCATCACACCTGCCTTCACGGCTTCCGTTCCCTGTCTAAAAATCCCTGACAAGCCCCTCCCCGCCAGGTTCCTAGGGGACCCTCGCTTTCCTGCCCGTGCGCCGCGACATCCCATCACACCCGACCAACTTGCCTCTCCACCAGCTTCTCACCTCCCTGCCGCCTCCGTCTCCTGCAGCCTTCTGCTCTTTCGTCTCAGTCGTCCCGTGTGGCTAGTCGCCCTCTCCTGACCGTCTGCCCGCTCGCTCCGGGTCTCCCGCCCCGTTTTCCCCCCGTTAGCTTTCGTCGGGGTTCCGTAAACGCCCGGTTCCGTGGACCCGGATCCCTGTTCCTCCGCAGTCCTGAGGGCTGCCTCCCTGGAAGGGATTCCCACTTCCTTTGCTCGACCAGCCGCTTCTGTCCCTTCCCTTCCCGGGTTTCTCTTCCACCTTTCCTCCCGCGTTTGGATTACCTTTCTTTGCCTCTGTAGCTTCAGTTAAGTTCCTTGTCTCATTTAATTTTAAATGTCGTACTTAATACCCGACTTTTATCCCAGGTTACTTTTTTCATGGGAGTGAAAGTAAAGGCATTCTGTTTAGTGTAAGGGAAGTTGGGATTTTTAATTGCCTCTGGTGGAATTTAATCGTATTTTCCTGCTTTAGACTGAGATATGTTGTGAGTGTAAGGTACCCGCCCCCCCCCCCCTTCTTTTTTTCTAATGGGGATGTGGAAAAGGGTTTGCTGATACTGGTATCAGTTCCTGGAACTGTTAACCCCGGCGGTTAGAATTTAGAAGCTTGAGTGTGAAGCGTAGACTATTGGAATTCAAAATGGATTAGTAATCAGACTTAGAGATAACATACATCTCTTTAAAAACTAGTGAAAAGATGTTTGATGATTCTTGAGTTTGGACTCTGTTTTAATTGATGCTGGTTATCTTTTGGGGGCCAGCTTTACAGCTTTATACGGCGTAATATTGCTGTATTCGCTAACTTACATAGAATTACTAGAGCTAACTCCTCCCAACTTTTTCCAAACCTGGAAGCCACCTGTAATATCCTCCTTTTGCTTTCCACTCCTCTACCTCAAGGTACAAAGCTCACTGGATTACTCAAGCTTTGACGCGGTGGAGCTTTGACCTGAAACTTTTCAGGGAAAGATAGGGCTATAGGCACAATAATAAGTTCCTGTTTTAAATGGCTACTGGACACATTAGCCTGACTGACTTTCATCCTACATGAGAGTTACTTTGCTTTACTACTTGAAGCAAGAGTGAGCACGTCTTGAAAGTGAATTCACTGACAGGAGTCCTGTTTTGATTTCTCATTTGGACTTTGGCCGTAAGGTTTGAACTTTTAAAAAAATGTGCAAAATGTGAATTCTTCCAAGATGCTTTTTGCTCATGAAGGGCTGTTAGAACAAGTTATTGCTACAGACAAATCCATTATTCATTGTGACTTGTTCCTTGGCTGTGGAAAGTTTAAAAGTCATTACCGCTCGGTTCTCTCTGATGAGTGGATCGTGCAGGCTGCTTTTTAATGATCAGTCCTGGCCTGTTTAGAGAATGCACAATATATTTAAATGGTGACACTTTATAAATGGAAAATCCTTTAAAATGCATTGTGAAGCCATAGGTGATTTTTTGATTATCTGATATTTGAAGTCGACATTTCTACTGTTTACTGCTCTTCAAATGACTGCTTGGCTTGTTCAGCCCTGTCTTACGGTTTGCCCAAACCCTGTGTTAATTCTTAGCTTTTTATTTTTCTTTTTGATGATGTGGGGTGGGTGAAGAAACTACTTGTGACTGTGTGAACTATTTTCCTCTTCCCTTGCTTCAAAATGATAAATTATAACAAGAATAGACATATCTTTTAAAAGTCCTTATAAAGGTTTTTATCTTATTTCAGATGTAGCAGTAGTTCTTTTAACACTGCCAAAAAGGGCAGAAAATAGGCTAGATAAGGTTAAGAGAGTGATATTTGTTTGTGGTTTTAAAAAATGTTAGCTTTTTCTCTTAGAATAGTAGCTACTACTGCAGATGCTAACTGGGATTGGATTTCAAGGGTAATCTCACATTTGTAGTTCTTTTTGCTCTACCACTGCTGTGTTTATAAGATCCCACTTTAGAACTTGAACATTCCTGATAATGTTTGATTTTTTAAAATTCATATAAATGAGGAGCCACGACTCATTTCTTTTCAATGAGGTTATAAAATACAATACTATTTTCCCTATATTGTTGTTTAAAATGCCTTTATAACCAGTTCTCACTAATGAAATAAATTTATATTAAAGTCTAACCCATGAGTGACTTTTCTAAACACCTTCCTCTTAGACACACTGACATTCTTCAAGAAAATTGAAAATGCTTTCACAGGCAGTTCTGGGTCTTGACACTGAATGTTTAGGCTTTAATGTAGAGATAACTTTTCCTCTTTGAGGAGTTTTTCTTTCTAGTGAAGGTTTAGTTCTGTTGCACTTTTAATGTCCTGAAAAACTGTTGCCTAATAAGTTGAACCTAATGAAAACCATTTCATTTTTTAAATGTTAGTATAACAAAAATATGCTTAGGACTCTCTTTTTCCCTATAGGCCTTTACAGCATGGAGGTGGGTTCTATGTACTTCACCAAGGTCTTTCCATATTAGGAAGTGATTATTATAATCCATGAATTATGACTTAATTCATATTACATTATATACTTGTTTAAGAAAGATCTTTTGCTTTGCTTATAGGTGTCAATAGATAGTAAATAGTGTTAACTACTGTCTTTAGGATGAAAAGAGTTGTTAAACTTGAAACATTTGTAAAAAATAAACACAATTTGCATTTAATTTCAGGGCTCTAAGGGCCATAATCAAGGTAGAAGAATAGCGGCTCTTATATTTGAAGGACATCAATTTACCAGGCACTTATTAACCATTGTTTAATTTAATCCTCTCTCACAGCTCTGGACCTGGAGAGCCATATGCATAGAAAGTAGCCTCTAACTCCATTTAAAGAGGGGATAGAATGCTTAAAACATCTATAATGGTTAAAGTATGGACAACTTTAGTCTTACCTTGTTTTTTTGATATGAATACTTAATTTTCTTTTATCTGTACTTGTTTTCATATACTATCCTTGGGTATTTACATTGCAACGTGTTTCACTGAACTGTAATATTTATGTTAATGGCTATAATGGCCTCACTTTTTAATCCATATTTTTCCCAGTTAATTTCCAGGGAAACTTTGTTCCAACCACCATACGCCTTACATTTTCTACGACAAAATCAAGATCATGTTCCTATTAAGCATCGATTATAAGTGTCTCTCTTATTAGTAGGTACAATGTGGGTATTTTTGTATATTGCATCTAGACCCTGCCTAATTTTAGTTGTGGAAACAATTTCTTTAAAAGTCAGAATTTGTGAATGTCTTGTTATGGAGAAGGTGGGATTTGTATTTGGGTTAGTGGTTTTGTATAACCATTGAAAATGTATCTAAAATATCAAAATGTAACCCAAATAGTTACCTTTTTAAGTAAATGTATTGATTTTTAATGTCTTAATGACATCCAGTGAGTGCTTAGTTCGAACACTTATGTTATCAAGAAGGTATCTGGTAACTGGGATCTGATTTGCAAAAAAATGTGTGTGAGGAAGATAGGAAGTGGATGATCTACCCCAAGATGTCTCTTGTTTAGAAATAAAGTAACCGATGCTTTCCAAATGGATCTTGTTTTAAAGAGACAGTTATTTTGTAGTTAATGTTTGGATTTTCCCATAAGAATTAATCATATGATTTATGTTTTCATTGTTCATTATTTGACCTATTCTGTCCCTTATTAATTAGTCTTTAATAGTTCTGAAATACAGAAAATGGTAATGCAGTCATCAAAGTGGTAATAATAAGATTTGACTACAAATGTCAAATGCCTGACATTTGTTCTATAGTAGAACTCCACAAATGTAAAATTTTTCCTCCGTGATGTATCTAGTTATGTTCCTGAATAGTACATGTATTTTAAAAGAGAAACTCTGAAGAGAGCTTGACGTATGGCCATTTTGGTAGTCATCTTATTTGTATTTAGCATATTAATTCTAAAATATCTTTGTAAGGGGTAATTAGGCTTCACTGGTGGACTTATTTTAAGAAATATTTAATATTAGAGTTTAGGCATCTTTTTTTATCCTTAGAGCAATGCTTTTTATGTTTACTATAATATTTTATGTATCCGAATAATTTTTAAAGGTGTCTTTGAATTTAGAGTAGCAGGTGAGAAGGGAAACGTCATATGAAGTGACTTGGCTTTTTTTCCTTCTCATTTGATTTGTGAAGCATTTGTATGAAATATTTAATTAGATGGTTTTAAAATACATTAGTCAAGGGGCTAGCCTGGTGGTGCAGTGGTTAGGTTGGCACGTTCTGCTTTGGCGGCCGGGGGTTCACTGGTTTGGATCCCAGCTGCAGACCTACACACTGCTTGTCGGGCCATGCTGTGGCAGGTATCCCACATGTAAGGTGGAGGAAGATGGGCACAGATGTTAGCTCAGGGCCAGTCTTCCTCAAACAAAACAAAACAAACAAATCTGTCACTACAACTAGGATATACAACTATGTACTAGGGCTTTAGGGAGAGAGGAGAAAACATACATTAGTTAAAAATAATCCATTTTAGTTAATCATCAGGATTGCTTTAAATAAAATTATTTTGACCCTGATTATCATTTAGAATATTTAATATGAAAGTTCACCATAATATGTAGAAAGTCACTTCTGTGCTATTTTCTTGAGTTCCAAAATACTTAGTTTCATGATTTCTCCCTTAAAATCAAAGAAGTAAGAAAAATAAACTTAAAGGCTTCTTGGCATGAGGTTAGAGCCCTACCAAGAAGTAGGGTTAGATTTTCAAAGTAAAGGCTTAGTATTTGCTCTTCCTGTTCTTTTGGTGGCTGAAGTGGCATTTCCGTTACTTTGTGTTCTCAGTATGTTCCCAGTTAAACTGCTTTATACATTCCTCTAGAGAATTGAAATTTTGGATTTGACCTTTGAGAATTTTGTATGTTCATTGTGTATATGGTTTTTTTATGGAGAATCGTTCCTGGGCAGTTAGATTTTACTAATGATATTCCTTTAAAAGGGAATTTTTTTGCCAGCCCTGGTGGCCTAGTGGTTAAGTTTGGCATGCTCTGCTTTGGTGACCTGGGTTCGGTTCCTAGGTGCAGACCTACACTACTTACCTGTCAGTGGCCATGCTGTGGCAGCAGCTCACACACAGGAAAAAAAAAAAAAAAAGAGGAGGACTGGCAGTGGATGTTAGCTTAGGGTGAATCTTCCTCAGCAAGAAAGAAAAGGAGGAATGTGATAAACCTAAACCTTGGGATTAAAAATTATA